GCCACATTTGAACCTGCTGTAGCATGCAAATTGTCTTACATACAGTCTGTATAGTTCTCTAACTAGAGTGATGATCAGGATGTGAGTGACCATCACCAGGGCATCTAGTGAGGGTAAGGGAGGGGCATAATTAATTCAGCAGCCAAAGATGAGCAAAGACTCCCCTGGCCATAGCTTCCCATCACAATTTTCAAATAGGTAAGAGTCTTCTTTCATCAAAACTGCTCAAATCACATATGCAAACATTATCTCCCTTTGTTGTTTGTTCCTGATAATCAGTGGAGAAGCTCAGAACCTCACATCTTCTTAAGCAAAATTTGGATTTGGATCTGTTCTGAATTGGCTGAATCTGAAGAGAGTTGAGAATTTTTGGAGTCTCTAAGACAAATGTGATCCATTCATATCACTGGTGATAATTGCTTTCCCCTGGTTCCTATCGGGAGGAAAGAGAAATGCCACAGTCAAAATAAAAGGGCTGCTCATCTTCATGCAAATAAAATTATCTGTGAAATTTTGCTCCTAAATGAGAATGGCATTTGAAATTCCTAACTTTTTTGAATGCGCTTTTATATGACTTTTCACAATCATTTTATATTTATTAGAAAGGAACCAAATATATTAAATTTTCTTGGTCTTCTTGACAGCTTCAATTTCTGACTGGATAGTAGTAATGAAAAGAAGGATTTCATTAGTTCTGGCTTCTGATTGGTAAAATATTAGAAATGCATTGCTTTTTTTAACTAAATCAAAATGTTTCTCTTCCTAATCAAATATAAATTTCTAAAAAAAGCAGATGTTCCTGGGGCCTGACCTTTACCAAAGTTCTTTTTCGTTTCTTCTTTTTTTCATGGATATCCAAGAGATTCAATACATCTGAGCACTGAAAAAATAATCAGTTAAACATTCTTGTTGACTGCTTGCCAGAACTATAAAGTTGTTGCAATAAAAAAAAACTTTAATTCAGAATTATGACCTAATTAAATAAATCTATCTAGACCCATCATTTAGTAGAGGGAAAAAATCCATTTCTTTTACATGGAAAAGAATAAAATCAATTTAGATAAATATAAGTGCTTCCAAACATCTGCTATTCAAAGTACATAACTCACATTGACACCAAAGGTTGGTTTGTGTTTTGACTGGAAGCGTTTGATATTATTTTTGTCTGCAAAGGAAAGAGTTGTGTAGCATCCAAGTGGTGAGATATTTGCCCTTTAGGCAATCATGGTGGATTTGGGACAAGGAGAAGACTGTTTAAAAAAAAAAAATCACTGTGAAAAATACTTGCTTTCCTTTAGGAATCTTTGAGGTATGAATTATCTTCATGTGCAGATCTTCCAAAAGAAAATAAAGAGAAGCAGAAGAGAATAATAAAAAATAGCTTAAATCTGTTAGACTCTCTTTTGTTGGGCACAGAATTGTAGTCTGTCATGTCTGTTGACTCTCAGTTTGGATGGAAAGACATTTTAAAAATAAATCAGCACCATTTAAGAACAACCATGGTCTGCTTGAGATACAGTATTCAATGCATTCAATACATCTCTACAGTATTACTCCAGCATCATTGTTAATAAGCATCATTAATTTATTTTGCTAATGGCATGATTTTAAATATGTTTCTTCTAAACCCCTCTGGGTTTAGTGGGATTTACTGCCATGTTGAAAGGGTAGTCCATGCGATCTTGTTAGAATAACTGTTAGATGCAGATTATACAGCCCTTTCCCATGGAAGGCTGCATATCGAGAAGGGCTGCCAATCGCAAAATGATGTGAGCAGCATAGAAACTCTATGCACAAAACACAGGACCTGTGGGTTTTTTCCCAGTTTGATCAATATCAGTATTAAGGTATTTAAACTGCATATATTTTGAACTTTAATTTTTAGTTTTCCCAATGTCCAATTGAAATTTATTTTTTTTTGTCATTTAAAATAATTGTTTCTTGTCCTGTTTTCTGGAACAATTCTAAGAAGTTCTATTCCATCTTCTATATAAACTGTCCCGTTTCCCTTTAGTCTTCTCTTCTGACATTAAACCCAACACATCCAACTATTCCTTCCCTGTTTTTTCTCCCAGATTTCTTATTATCTTGATTCTCTACTTTGGAGAATTCCCTTGATTCTCTCCATATTCTCTCTTATACCATATTTTATATGCAGCATGAGCCAATGCAGAATACAGAGGAATAATGACTTACATTGATCACGACAGTATTTGTTTCTGGTAATGCAACCTAAAATTGCATTTGCTTTGGTTTTTTGTTTGTTTTTGTTGTGTTTTGTTGGGAGGTTTTTGTGTTTTTTTTAATGTTGGGTTTGATTTTTTTTTTTTTAGTTACCTACCATAGTTGGTCCGTGTTCAGCTTGCGATCTACCCTTTAGAAATGTTTGGAAGGCATGGAACTGCCAATAACAAACAAAACAGTTCCTTTTTTACTGTATTTCTGCCTTATATGATCTCCACATTCTTTACTTCATATCGTTGATTTTTCCAACCCAAATATAGTGCATATTTGAAATTCATTCTTCTAATTTTGGCTCAATGTCCCAGCATGTTGAGATCCTCCTAAATATTGATATCATCCTATAATAATAGTACTATCTCTGTATCATCAGCACATTTGAAAATAATCTTTTCTAAGTCTTTCTTCCAGACATTCATAAATACATTGAAGAACACAGTACATAGAATGGAATCCAATGTGCCTCTCGATACCTATAACGATTGACATATGTATTTGTTTTACTTTCTTTTATTCACAATCTGGGTGGTTAACAATAATTAAAATATTCATTGAGTAGAATTGTTCAATCAGCTCTGTATCCATCTAATGGTAGCATCGTCCAGTTTGTATTTTGTCATCTTTCCCCCAAGTATCTCGCTGTAGTTTTATAATTTTAAGCAAAGTAGTCAGAACAAGATTATGTTGGCATAAGAATGTAACAACAAAGCTTTGTTAGTGGGCACACAATTGTTAGTTTTACCTTTACTATCCCACCCCTGACTAGTGCGGCTGCTAAACCAACAATCCATGGTATGTGGTCCAAATACAGGACATGTGATTGATTCTGGTTATAACTACCCCCAAAAAATAACCTACATACACACATACATATAATACTCATTCTAAGTACTGTTCATCCTGGGTGAAATGTTTACTATAAACAGACCACAGTCAAAAGAAGAAGCTAGCAATTCTATTTGCATTAACCAAGCATCATAATGGGGAGGCTAGGCCTGTCTGTTTCTTGGGCAACCCCAACTGATCATAACTTTTTAGTGGATTACTTCCCAACAATGCTTAGAGTGACATGTATAGTAGCTATTTGTAGACTTATGTAAAACCTTTCAAAGAGAATATTCATTAGGAAGAAAGTGAAATGAAGTTGCACACATGTACATAAAACTGGGTGCAGTTTACAACACTGAGTGCAGTTGCTTGGGGTTGAACAGTGAAGTCTTTGGGGCTCTCTAAGCTTGGCTGTTTGCTTGCAGATGTTTAATTACCTAGCTAGGTAACATCATTAGTGCTAGTGAGTGGGCAGGGGGAGGTTTACTCCCTGTTTAAATTCAGTACAATAGCCTGCCTTGTCAGTATTGTGGGAGTATGGTTCTCTCCTTGGTAGTTCCTTGATTAGGGTATTGTTTACTTCTTGATTGTTTGTCTGGTGTTAATCTCTGCTTATCTGGGTGTTAGTTGTTGAAGAGGATGTGATCTGATCTTTTTGTTTCCTTCTTAGATTTTTATTCTCTCTTTTGAATGGTGTAAATGCAGTTTATCTCTATGTATCTATTGGTGCTGATTGTCTGAATGCCAAACTTCTATAAAATCCTTAGCATTTTTTGGTTTTAGCTTGGTCACAGTTTCCCAGCTGAAACTATGGTTGAGTCTGCCCATGTATTGTGAAATTAAGTTTCATCCGGTCTTCTAACTGCTACTTGGTGTTCATGGATGTATTCTGCTAATGTTCTGCCTATCTGTCCTAGACAATGGCTGTTTACACCACCACCAGATCTGCAGAGCAGAGGATCAGAAAGTCATCAGGGCCTTCCAGATGAAAATTTCAACCCCATCCTATACCCTGACTTTGCAGCTGATACTGCTAAATTTGTAGTTGGTTGCATCTTCTTCCTGTCGGCCTATGTCTTGGTTATACATGTCAAGCCAGCTCCTTCATTCACAATCCAATCATTGATGACTACATAGCAATCTGATTATGCAGTTTGAATTAGAAACAAACAGGCAACCAATGCAGTTCCCACAGTATTGGTGTTCTACAGCAATTCTGGGCTGCTGAATTTTGTACTACTGTAGTTATAATTTCTTGGTGATCTTCCGGGTAGTCCCATGCATAGTGTATCTTCTACTTCGAAAACAGTAACAACTGATGCATCAGCCAAAAAAATGCACTTGGGCTACAGTTATCACCTGCTGTTCTAGCAGGAGTTGAGAGTCCTCAGACTACTCTTTCTGAAAGATCTCATCATTCTTTTCATTCCGTAGGATACCCAAAAATTAGATTTCAATTAGATGGCTGAATGTATCCGATATCTTAGACTTTTTCTTGACTTGGTGCATACTCTTTTAAATGGCACGAGACAGTTTGTATATTGCATAGAATCTGTTTTGTTTCATTTTATTTCAATATGCTACACATAATAGTATGTCTTCTCAATTTTTACATTTTACAATAGATATATTTTCAATGCATATACTGATATTGTAAAGTATGTCTCCTTTCTATCATAGATAACAAATTATCTCATTAATTTACATGTTATTCTTCTAACATTTTGCACTACGGTAAAAAATTACACTTCCATTTTATCCTTCCTTGATTCCAAAACTGTCCAGCAAGAGAGTGACCAATAATCATTTGAAATTTGATTCAGTGCAATATTCCTTAGAATGAATGAATGTATATCTGTATGTGTATGTGTATGTACACACACACATGCACGCCGTTTCCTTTACTTAATGGGATTCTTTCCTCGTTGCAGTGCAAACGGCTGGAGCAGGAGCTTCATCATATGAAAGAGCAGAACCAGACTTCTGCAAACAACCCTAGACATCTGACTGCTAAAAACAATCAAGAACGTGCTCTGAAGGTAAATCTCCATTCCTTCTAGCAGGCAAATTAAGGTTGTAAGCCCTGGGTGCCAGCTTTCTCTGCTGCATAGATCAGTTGTGTACATTTCAGCAGAAGTGAGCTGTGCTGTTTGCCAACAACCTCTTCTTTAAACACAGATACAGCACCCTTCTGTTATGGTATTATTTTGTGCTCTCTCTCCATCTCTCTCTCTCTCTCTCTCTCCTTCTCTCTCTCTTTCTCTCTCAATGAGAGCAAGTGTGAACGCAAGAAGATAAAGCAATATTTTTTTTCAAATTTTGACCAGCTATCTTGTCCTAGCGAACATTAAATTGGAACAAATTATTTACAGCAAGCAGAATTGCAGATCTATCATATTTGGAGAGAAACTCCTCTTGTTTGTCCAGTAGTGACTGTTTTCAAAACGTATCTATCTGCTTTCCATGCCCCAAATATTATATGATGTATTAATAAAATTATTTACTTATTGTATTAGTAACCACATTGTTGATATGTTGGTATTTGCAAATAGGTAGTTAATGATTTCCTCTTCCCAGTCCCAGGTTAAAAACAAATCTTATTGTAAAAGATAAAAGGGAGGAGCTGCGTAAAAAGGAGATGGTGCAAGAGATGTATCTTACTTACTCATTAATGCTCTCAAGGAAGTTGGTAAAAACCTTCATTTTTAGGATGGAGTTTCTAAATAGAGCTTTCACTTTAGAATCTTAAAATATTCTTATAACCAGTTTTTATTTTACATTTTAGAGGAAGTTGGTGCTTGTTTGTTTTGCTTGTTTGTAGTTAACCTTGGGAATCCTTAGGAGGAAAAGCAGGATCTAAAGATTTTCAGAGACTTTTCAGTCCCAATATTTTACATTTTGTTTTTAAAAGACCGAAAGAGGGAATTCTGAATTCATCTTAACATGTATAAAGAAAACAAAAAAGAAAAGAAAAGAAATCATTGTCAATAGGCCTATAATTTTTACTTCAGTTCCTCTATATTTCTACTGTTTAACTTTGTTTTCAGTGGACTACCATACTTGCTATAGGTTTTAGAGGTAAATATAGTGTTACCTCTGTTTTATTTTTGAAATATGAAATAGGTGTCTTTATTAATAAATGGATTGTACCAACTCATAAAGCTGAGCTTATTCTTCTGACTTACTCTTAAGAGTTGAGCCCAGGCAACTTTCATGAGGCAACAGAGATAAATCTGCTGTCTGCTTGGTTGTCATGGGAATGTTCAAAAACCTGTTAGAGAGAGGGAAATTTAGGCAGCTGTCAAATAAAATGTAGTTCATCACCAACTGTTTCATTTGTTTGTAGCTTTAATTATTTCATTGTCAAAATGAAAGGCTCATTTTTTAACATTATAAAACTGTATTTGTTACATTGATCTAGCCTTTTTCCGTGTTGCTACATTTAGATATTTTAAACCTATGGTGGCATGGGTATCGTTACAACTCATCCAATTCTTCTTTTTTTTCATTTAAAACTTTAATTTAATTCTATATATTAATATGTTTGAATTTATAGTCATTTAACAATGTGGGCAAATGTTTTTTTCAACAATTTAAAAGACACAATATTTGAACCTACAATTTAAAAATATCTTGTTTTATTAGTGCTAAAACATTTTGCAATAAATGTGGCAACTTGCAGTCTGACTAAACTAAAATAAATAACATCATACTGTTGATCTCTGTAGTATTTCTTCCATGTACAAGATTTATAGTTCTTTGAAAGATATCATGTTCATTTTTCCAGCAATGGTAGGTATATGTAAGTCTAATAGCTACTGTATGTTTATAATTATTACAATACAGACTGGTTAGGATTTTAAAATTCTCAGCACAATTTTTAACACAATATAAATAAGTTAAAGATTATTTACAATAGTAACAAACAGATTTTGCTTACATTGATTGCTCAAACTATTGTTGCTTCTGAAAACCATGTGTTTCTGGCACACATTTTACACAAGTAACACAAATAGACTATTAAGCCAAGTGGTCTATTTTACTTTTTTCCACTTTCAAGAGGAGAAAACCTCTGGAGCCATCCACAGTAGGATTATGACTCAGATAATACTTGTGTGGTGCTTTCTTTTTATGAATAGTACAGTTTACTCATTTGAATTATTAACACTAACTGTGTGGCTAAATGTCTGTTTCACTTAAAATTGAAAGTACAATAGATATGGTTTACCTTCTTACTGAATGGACCTTGTGGTTAAGGAAAGGATTTTATCAAGAAAAATGTATTTCTTAAACCAAAACAGATTATATGAAAGATAATATAATTATTATCTATATATAATAATATAATAATTATATGGCGTTAATCTTAACAAATCATTAGGCCTGAAGGGAGGAAATACAGTAGAGAGGATTAACTTCTTTATTCATAAAGACAAGAAAATTACTTGTTCCTACTTAGCTTTGGTTGTATATTTCAGAAAAACCCACATGTATCTAATTTAAATTTATAGACAATAAGAGCAACAGAACTCAATAGAAATATATATTGGTGTCCCATTTTTTTTATCATTTATTCCGAAGTAATATTAAAAGACTGATCTTTTTGGAGGGGCTGATGATGACCAAAAGATAGTACGTCAGTTAAATGAAGTAATACAAGCTGAGGCTGTAACTAGCAAAGGTTTCTTTTGAATAAGCTTGGAAAATCTAGTTGCTTTATAAGATCACAGTGTTACCTATCATACCCTTATTTGGTCAGATTTCTTTTGGATTCTTATTTAACTATCTCTAATTATATAGCTATCCATCTCACAAAGCAACTACATGTTATAATTACAACTCATGACTCCTAGCTAGCTTAGTAATTGACAATATTAGCTGGGCATTATTTGATCTGCAATCCCATACATCTGGAGAGCAGCAGATATGTCAATAGTAATAGGGAATTCTGAGGTTTGTAGTCCCTATGCAACTGAGGATTTATTGAAATTTTGGGGACTGGGGTAACAGAATAACAGAGAAGATTCAAAAAGATTGCTAAATATGCAAGGGGAAAAAGGAGGGGAAATCTCCTCATTTCAGGCAGACACTGCTGAGATATAAATGGTTTAGGATAACCCTACAGAAATGTTCTTTGTTTTAGTGGAAAGTACAGTGGAAACACTGTCCTTCATGTGCTACAGAACTAAAAAAAATCTTGTTGGATAATAGTTAGGAAATATTGAGAAATGACTGCAGTAAAATAGCAATTAATTTAAATTTCTTTATTTACCTTGAGCGCATAATGATACATTGTTGTTTGTCTTGTACAAAAAATGCTGTTAAGTGGTTTCCGAAACTCTTTACCCCAAAGGTAAGACATAGAAATCTCTAAATAACAAAGGTCTTTTTCTGACTGAACTCTGACCTTCTTATCTGAAATACCTTTCCAAGTTAATAGAATCTACTTTCAGTCTCCAGTAGACACCGAGGAGACATAGGTGGGGCAAGTTTTATATAAATATTTCTAAGGTATGGGTTTTTAAAATAAATGGCACCTGAGCCCCACTACCTGATAAAGTTCAGCTCTTGTGTGTTGTATGCGTTGAAATTTGTAAATGTCATGATTTTTTTTTCTAGGCAGGGTGGGTCAGTAACAGGGAAGGCCTTAATGTATTTCCAAAGCTTCAAACTATCCTTGATACAGCAGATATCACATATTTGCATTTACCGAATCTCCTTTCATTGCATATCACAAAACCAAATTCTAATTCACACAACCCTGACTCGTCCGCCAAATTCTGAAAACAAAGTTAGCTAGGCAAATCCCATCCTATGGCTCTCCATGAATTGGTTTCATTTATACACTGTCATAATTATATAATTTAAGATGTCTATCAGAATTTGCAACTGTTTTCCACTGGAAAGTTGAAAAACTATTAGAATTCAAATGGAGCAAGAATGAGCCATATAGAGTAAATAAATGGCTACCAAAAAATCTAAAGCTTTATGGATTTTAACAGAAATAATATTCATAATACTCATCGATGTTTATGTTTAGACATAATTTGACTTTTAAAACCCTAAACAGCTGGTATCAAGTTGCTTGACCTCACCAGGTAGTGTCTTCTCTGTTATGGCAGATTAATTTAAATGACTTTCCTACTGTTGACTTATGGCCTATTTATGAATAATGGGAAGCTATTTTTTTCTATTTGTCACAAAGTTCAGCCAATGTTTTTACTTTGAAATTAACTACCATATTTTTGCTACCCCCAAAATAAGACATCCCTGATAATAAGCCCAATTGGGTTTTTGAGTGCATGACAATAAGGCCAAGTGCTTATTTCAGGGTTCAAAAAAATATAAGACAGAGTCTTATTTTCGGGAAAACATGGTACTAAACTCATGAATCTGTGCTTTATTAAACTATGATTAAAAGGAAAAAAACGATCACAATATTGTTTTAGGTTTTAAGAAATTCTCCCTAAACAATGGGCTGAAATTGTACTAAATCTAAGCAGTTATGTGGTTTATTTGCTTTTGAATTACCGTAAGGCAGCTCCCAGCCCACGGGTCAGATGTGTCATGTGCTGGCCACACCCACACCCAGTTTAGCAAAGGGGGGGAAAGTCCCGATATGTCCCATGACACTGCCATGACAACGTGAGTTTGACACCCCTGCCATAAGGCATGGAACTATCATTCTAGCTTAATACTAAGTAAGATTCAGGTCACAGCTGAACAAACCACAATTCTCCAAATTCAGACATTATAGATAATACAGTTAGTTTTAAAGCTTTTGGCTCTTCGTCTAGCATACTAGAGAAAATGAAGAAACATAAGTGTCAGATATTACTAAATCATGGATATCATCACAAATAGTCCTAGAACAACTGACTTTAATCAAAGTCCCTTAAATGATAACAGCTTTTTGGGTATGTATATATGTATGTATGTATACATAGACATATATATGCAAAAAAGACAGATATATATATATATATATATATATATATATATATATATATATATATACATACATACATACATACATACA